CGAGAGCGACTCGGAGGACGACTCGGAGGAGCATGGGGCTGCGCTGGAGGGGTAAGCAGCGCTACCGGTCGGAGGAGCGGGGGTCCGGTGCAGGCCCCGTCGGCTCTGCTGGTGTGCTCCTGATCCCGCGAGGGATGGCGAGCATGGCCATAGGCATCAGGACGGGCAGCTCCTTCCTCCGTGTACCGGCGTGGCCCTGGAAAAAAGAGGTTCCTTCGTGCAACAAGCTGCAGCCACCTCAGGTGGCTCCTCGGACAATCCCAGTGCCCAGCTTTGCTGTGCCGACGGGAGGCACAGCTGGGAACGACCGAAGGTGTCAGCCGACCTCCTGTCTTGTCTTCAGCCCTGGCTGGCAGCAGGTGCCCATGAAAGAGAAGGAACAGCTCAAACATCTCATTCATCTCCTGATAGTCCTCCTCCTCTGCCGCTGTTTGCAACCCCAAAACCATTACTAAACCCCCTAGTTGCTGTCCTATATGCCTGCCTTTGTGCAGAGCACTTATCCACCTTTCGACATCCCCTATTCAAGTCTTTATGACCACAAGCACCCGTCCATCGCTCGAGTGCTTTTTGGGGCTAGGAGGCCTAAGGCAAAACACGGCCCATGATAGTCCTCCTCCTTTGCCGCTGTTTGCAACCCCAAAACCATTACTAAACCCCCTAGTTGCTGTCCTATATGCCTGCCTTTGTGCAGAGCACTTATCCACCTTTCGACATCCCCTATTCAAGTCTTTATGACCACAAGCACCCGTCCATCGCTCGAGTGCTTTTTGGGGCTAGGAGGCCTAAGGCAAAACACGGCCCAGTAGTGTTTTCCCTGTGCAAGAACTCTTTTTAAGAGAGGACTCGCTACCTGGTGTTTCAGGTTCCTTCACGATCATCTTGCACAGTTGGGTCCCAGTTCCTGCTTCTACAGAACCTACCACACGTTAATCTTTGCCCGCATTTCTCTTCTTTTCCTTAGCGACCTCAATCTGGCAGATTACGACTACCTGCCAGTATCTTCCGAAATCAAAGAACTGTTTGAGTACATCAAGAGGTGAGTGGAAGGGGTTTTAGCCTGCTCTCGGCTCTCCTTTGCGTCAATTATTGTGGCCAGTTTTGCAGGATGGTTCAGAGTCACCCACGCGGGCGTTGTTTTTTTCCAGGTACACTCCCAAAACAATAGAGATCGAGCACAAACTGCGGCCTTTTATTCCAGACTTTATTCCTGCGGTTGGAGACATCGATGCGTTCCTGAAGGTAGGTTAGCTTCAGGTTCCTCTATATGTCCTGCCGCACAAGCCGAAACAGAACGTGGCCTCAGCACCAGAGGGGCGGCAGTCAGGCTGTGCCGTCCGGAGGTGGCCTGTCTGTCCCCGCAGCCGCGCGTACCCTTTGCCCCACACCGTCGGAGATATGGTTCTAGAGACCTGGGAAACTACGCTGTGGTTCAGTTGCCTCTCAAACAGCACATAGGTAGTTTGGGCCGAGGGCTGCGTTTTCCCTTGTCCACCACCTTGTGCTTTTCAGGTAGCACTCTACTAACAGCTCATATTCAAGAGAGCATGCCGACCAATTCCCCTTAGGGTCTGATTTTTAAACCGCAGGGAGGCTCTGTGCAAAATAGCCCCAACTCGCCCCGCTCCGGACTCCCATAGAAAACAGGGTCTCTCTTTATCGGCAGGTTCGCCGTCCCGACGGCAAGCCTGATAACCTTGGCCTGCTCGTCCTGGATGAGCCGTCAACCAAGCAGTCGGATCCCACCGTGCTCTCCCTTTGGCTGACGGAGAACTCCAAGCAACACAACATCACAGTGAGTCAGGGAGAGGGAGGTCGCGCACTGGCTGTAGCAAAAACCTTGCGTTTTACTCTTACTTTTGTCTCTGTGACTACAGTGGTGCAGCACAACTGATAACTTGGCTTTGAAAGCAGAAAAAACTAATCTTTTTCTTCAACCCATAGCTTTAAACTGCAATGGATATCAACCTTGCTTCGGGCAAGTCTTGATACAGACTTTGGATTGGTTTCCTTCAGGTGAACTCTTGTTTCCTTTTGGTTGTCAATACCTGGTTTCACTCGGCGTTTTGTAGGCCAGCTGCTCTTCAGTCTGCAGAAATCAGTTGGTATAGTGCAACTAGGGAAGAGAAAGCGCATGGTTAATCAGGAGCGAACACAGGCTTCGCAAAAAAAGCCCCAATGCACCACAGGCGCTTACAGGTTTATATTTTTGGTTGTAGCAGCAGATAAAAGTGAAGAGTTTGGAGAATGTGGAGAAGAACCCCAAAGCCATTGACAGCTGGATTGAAAGTATCAGCGAACTGCACCGCTGCAAACCTCCTGCCACGGTCCATTATACCAGGTGAGCTGTTGGGTCAACTGTCCTCCACGTACACATGTGCAGCCTAAGCTCAGGTCAGCGGGAGGCTGGTAGCAAAGTCTAGGAGCACTGAGTAAAACCATCAAAATATCTGTGAGAGGGAGGAGATGTACTGATTTTTGGGGTAGTCCTACCACGCACGTGTGCAGGACACTCTGTTTCCCTCTACTTGCCCTACACAGCTTGCATTAGTTTAACAGCTAGCACACAGAACTTGCAAGTTTGCAAGCTTGGGCTTGTTTTGATAAGTGAAAAATGATAAGTAAAATGTGGAGCTCACTCTCAGCTGCTTAGAACGGAGGCTGTCCCGCTTACAGCAGTCTGGCAGTAGGAAGACATTTCAGTTATGTGTGATCCTGAAGTTTATGCTCTTGTCTTCCCTGGCAGGCCAATGCCCGACATCGAGACCCTGATGCAGGAATGGTCACCGGAATTTGAGGAGCTCTTGGGGAAGGTAGGTTGTCTGAGCAGTAAGTCCGCGCGTGCTCTCGGGCTCTTGCCGTACGGGAGCAGAGCTGACAGCCCCGTCTCTTCCAGGTGAGCCTCCCGACCGCAGAGATGAACTGTGACCTGGCTGAGTACATCGACATGATATGCGGTAAGCTGGGGAGACTGTGCTGAAGGCACAAGCGTGCTGCTGGCCCGGCACTGTCTCGCTTAAAGCAAGAGACCTTTAGGTGCAGGCTCGGCCCTGAGTAGTCAAGATCGTTCGCTGCCGCCCTCAGTAGGAAGCGGGCTCTTGCACCGCAGGCGCCTGTGGTCTTTGATGAGCGAAGGCCCCATTATTCGCAGGCAGTGGGAAGCTCAGCCTTTACTTACAGCAGTCCACGCAGGGCGGCGCAGCCCCGATGCTCTTACGCGCTTCTGCTCTTGCTTGTAGCCATTCTGGACATCCCCATCTACAAGAGTCGGATCCAGCCTCTGCACATCCTCTTCTCCCTCTACTCGGAGTTCAAGAACTCACAGGTAGGCAACTCCAGACAGGCACTGCCCGCCCAGCTGAAAGCGTCGCAAAGCTTCTCTCCTTACATTTGGCTTTGCTGTGCTCTGGGTGTTCGTAAAGGGCTGGTAAGCCCCGATAAAGGGGTCCAAAGAACATTTTCTAAGCTGCTCATTTGCCTAGTACCTCAGCATTACGCGAGGAGCCCCTGATGTGCCGTGAGGCTGGGATGCCACGTAGTTTAACGCTCCAGCCAAAGCCCAGAATGCTTTTCCCCCCGGAGTCAGGGCAACCACTGAGCATACAGCTCATGCAGAGCAGCAGCGGCTTGCCTCTTCAGATGCACGCGTGTGCTCCGATTAACGATAGCCGAATCGTTGTGCCAGCGTGTTCTTTCCCCTGCAGCATTTCAAGCCTCTGGCTGATGGGAAGAAGGGCGGGAGCCCACCATCCAACCCACCTTCACAGACAGCAGACGCGGAAGTGTTAAGCTTTGCTTGAAGCTTCACGTTAAACCCTCACCTCCCGGATCGATGTCTGCCGCTGGACGTCGTGATTTGACCAAAGCAGCCTGTGAAGCGGCGCACGGCACTTCGGGAGCCTCCCTGGTTTTGTGGATACTGCTGAGCTGTTCTGCATTCACAGAGTAGAACTTTACCCGTCGTGTTTATTGCGGAAGCTGCCTAATCGCTTCGTTTTTGACTCGTTCCTGAGGAGTTCAGCTTTAAACCAGCTCTTCCCAATGACAGGCTCCCTGTGCCGTAGACGCCGCAGAGCACAGGCTCTTCGAGCACACGCTACAAGTGCTGGAGCAAGCGGGAATAAATTCCACGCTCAGATGCGACACTCTGATCTGCCCTGTGCGTACCGAAGTCTGATTGGGGGATCTTGAATCTCCTCTACCCCGTGTTGTTGTAACCCCCTTTGTCTGTTATCAAGCCCCTTAGCTACCGCCAGGTAGAAATAACCAGCGCGGCACCACACAGACGCTCGAGTTTAGTTTATTGCTGTTGGGACGACTCTCTCCAGCCCCTGCCACACTGCCTGCCCACCCATCTGCCGCAGCTCTGGCAGGGGCGGAGAGGACCACGCAGCAAGCAGGCCATGAACCTGCTAAAGCAAGGCTGGTGCTTGGCCTTACCGCGGGAGGAATCTCAGCGCTAGCAGCCTGGCAGAGTCCGGCTATAAAGAGCTGTGATGCGTTTTGACTATAATAGTCTGTTAGTAAAGCGCACGGGCTACATAAAAACATGCCTTGTCTAACAGCGCAGCCACCGCAACCTGCAGCGCGTAGCTTAACGTACAGCTGAGGGCTGGTCAGCGCCGGCCACCCGGCACGGCCTCCCCGGCACCTTCGGCTGCACTTCTCCAGAGGCTGGTACGTACCTGGGGCCGGGCAGGCCTGGCTCACGGGCACCACGCCGCATCTCACAGCCAGATCTCGTCGCTGCTCACGCTGGGCACTTTGTAGATGCGCCCAGACATCGGGAGCTGGACAAAACCTGCATGACAAAGGCAGCTCATCACCATCGCCTTTTGGGGCAGCCACGCAGGCCGGCGTCCCTGCAGCACAGTTTTTGGGGCCGCTTGCCCACCTCTGACCCCCCTCACCGAGCTTGCTGAGGACCAGGGCGTTCTCTGGCCCCGGCAGGGCACTCTCCTCTCCCCTGGCACCGGCTCCTGCATGCTGGGGG